ACACCATATACATAAATAAATGCACAAATGTGCAAAGGTATTGTAATTCTGAAAACCTTAAATAAAAACCTTGCCAATCATTGGCTGCTGTACAGGAATAGGTTCACTTTATGCGGTTTTATAAGCCAGACACGCTGTAAACCACTAAAGCTCGATGGAGACGCCTGACTGTTCTAGACTTCAGAGACAGGACATTTACATATTTTTCTGTATTTTGGTAGGGATGTGTAAAATAAAACACCTTTTAAATAAATAAAGCTGATTAGATTTTTTTCTTTAGTCACTAAAGTTATTTATTTACTTAATATAGGAAATGACATTGATACAGTAAATGTTTCTTCTTCGCTTAAATATATTCAATTATAATCAGCAGACCTTCTACAACTTGTACTTTAAAAGTTGTTTGATGCATATATGTGACAACATTTACTTGGAACCCACTTACAGCTGCTTGTATAGTCTTTTGTAATTTATGTTGCAGGCACTAGAGGGAGCCCTCTACTCAGTCTTCACCGCTTCCTGAGCTCATATAGATGTACAGCAGATGCAAAGTCCTTCTAAACTGACTGCAACATGAGGCGGTGTTCAAGTATGACGTAAGTTTTGATGAGAGGGAAAAGTATAAAATAGGATCCAGGGGAATAATCCTTTAAAAAGGTTTCAGGTAGACTTTACACTCCTGGACAGCTCCTCTATATCATCCATACACCGTACAGTCAACACATCTGGAGTTTAGTCCTGGTCTGGAGGTTCTGTCACTCTTCTCTGACCCTCTCTCTAAATTTAACAGCTTGTCGTCATGTGTGTCTCTCATATTTCTGCTGGCCGATGGGACCAGCTAAGAATAGAAGAGCACTGACACAGATTAACACGGCTGGTTTCCTTCTCCCTCTCACTACTTCTAAAAACCAATTATTTTCCATCTGTCACTCTTAGAGCCATGAACTTCCTCCCTCTCCGTGTGTGTCTTGACCTTAACGTATGTTTAACTACTGACCTCGTCCATGACAGTGTGTGGAAGAACAGGGGGAGGAAGGAGAGGAGCTCACTGTCGAACCTGCAGTCTTAATAACACAGTTAGGACCACAGCAACCCTGTTTGGCTGTAGGTTTTGTATGTACGCATTAGTCGTTGAGCATTAATGGGCGGCAGGTAAATACATGTTTTCTCTCTTTATTAGACATCTTAGTTTCCCAGCATGTACCAGCAAGACAGTTCAAAGCTGCCTGCAAAAGACTCAAGCTTACAACCAGGAAATTTCCTTGACACAAAGCTTTATCTATAACTTTGAACAGGAAAGACTAGAGAGTCCTTCAGTGCCTCCTAAATGTCAACTCTAATCCTGGGATGGAGCAGGATCTCCAGAAGGGTCGTCCCTCATAAAGAGTGTTGATCAACAGGCACCCAATCACAGTTACCCAACTAAAACCTGATTGGCTCATGTGCAGGATGAGTTTCAAAGGCATCTTCATTTTGCCTGTCCCCTTTCTCCTCATCTGTCTTTCTCTCTATTTGTAAACTGTGTGTGTTATGTGTGTGTTGGTGTGTCCAGGTCGTATCAGTTCAAGTTTAGAGTTGGAAGGTTATAACGGTGCCGTTGATGACTTTCTCCAAACAGCAGCTTTGTGAGGTAACACAACTTGAATGAGCATTTAGATTAGCTAAATGCCAAAGCAAACACACCTCGCTGCTGCAGCTAACGCAAACAGACCAAATCGAGGCGACTGACACGGAACTAGTTAAATCCTTGACAAACCCATCTCTCTACAAGGTTACTAAATGGACCTTGTAGAGAGATGGGTTGTGCTGTTGTGAATGTTTTGTTTAAATCACATGATCTTCCTCAGCAGAGCAATGGACAAACACATTTTAGGACATATTGTCCAGTGGTGCTGGTAAGATTATATATTTGCTCTGCTTCTTTCATTTATACTGGATAGAGTGCCATTCAACTTGGTACAGACACTCATGGTAAGCAGAGGTTGAAGTTTAATGACGTTGATGATCCCTTAACCCATAGCGGCATCAACATTTTATGCGGAAGTTTAGGACCAAACCTCTATTCAGATCAGCCTGTTGTACTTTGCATTTAGTGCTAATTAGCAAATATTAGCATTTCAACATGCTAAACTAAAATGGTGAATGGTGACATTATACATGCTACACATCAGAATTGTATTGTCATTATGGGCACGTTAGCATGGATTAAAAGTCCAGTATATGACATTCTTAGGCATGTTTGCATTCACTTTAAAATAAGAATGATTGTGTTTTTGTTACCTTAGAATGAGCTGTTTTTATCTTTTTAAGTTGCTTTCTATGGAAGCTGTAGAACCGCCATATTTCTACAGTAGCCCAGAACGGACAAACCAAACTCTCAATAGCTGCTGTTCGTGTTTAGAGCTATCTGCAACCACACCGCTAGATGCCACTAAATCCTACACACTGGTCCTTTAAAAGTTTTAAACCCATATCTTCCCAACCAGCAAACTGACACCGGGCCTCTCCAGCCAGGTGGAATCTGACTCAGGATTACATGGCTCGAAGAAAAGCTGCCCTCCTATTTATGCATCTCGGTCAGCAGATAGTCTTTCCACAATGTCAGTGCATAATGCTGGACGTCAACAGCTGGGTAAGCACATGAGGGCAGTTTATCCACTGAGGTGAAGAGGTTTTATGACTTTTTGTTTAGCAGTCGTCGTCACTGAGAGCAGTTAAAACACCATAAAGTTAGTAAGTGGAGAACAACATATCTCCACTGCATCCCAGATATCTGGATAAACACAGGAGATAGGTCTTATCTTTACTGTGGGCAGTCCGCCTGTGAAAGCAAAATTAACCTTCATCAAGGTAGTGTGTACACGGAGGAAGGAAGTGTGGTTTAGCGTGTGGACATTACACCGTGTCTGCTGGTGGCCACAAGAGGTAGATAGGGAAACAGTGAGTGAGTGAATAAATAAATAAATGAATGTTATATGTGTGTCACATTTAATCTGTGAGGCTGTAAAAAGGCACAGCGGTGCTTTGAGCCAAATGCTAATGTCAGCATGTTTACTATATTAACCATTGTAGTTTAGCATGTTATCATGCTAACATCAGCAAATTAAGCATACAGCTGACATTGCTTTGTAGGTATTTGATTTGATAAACTAAAGTATTAGACAATTCAAATTTGGACCTGGTGGTTAAAAATTATCAGTCAGTGTCTTTACTTCATTTAATATCAATCTATCCAGAATATTAATGTCCTGATGGTGTTACAAAAGTTCAGAGAATCACTGAAGTCAGTAGGATTCATCCTTAAGAGACATAATTGTCTGTACAAAATGTCATGGCAATAAATCCAATAATTGTTGAGATATTCATCAACAGGATGTCATTGGGCCATGCAGTTGATAGGCTGATAGTATAACAATAAATATGTCACTATTTAATAAGATTAGTGGACACTAATTCTGACTTTTCATTGTTTTAACAGAAAGAAAGAAAACATGCCTGCTCACGTTTCTTATGCCAGAAACCAAACAGAACAATGTGAGTGGAGGCAGTCACGAGACTTACTGAGGAAATGGATCTAATTTCCTCCAACTCCAATCTCACATTCTTGGGATGGAAACCAACATTGTTGATGATAATTACATTAGTGGATGGGGGTATTCACAACAAAAGTCTAGACAAAGAAACAAATAACATGAGCACAACAAGCCAGTAACAACAGGGAAACAGGTCATAAAAGTAAAGTTGCAGCTTCAAATGTACCAGCCTGTCTGTGAAAGAGTGTCAGGTTTTCAGTCCTTTACCAGCTTTAAACAGAATGTAAACGACGCCAGAAGCTATCATATGAACAAGATGCAAATCATGTAAATGGTTTGAGTTCAACCATGGGAGCGTGTAACTCAGCTTTCTACCAATGTTACCATCCACTCTCTACAGTTCAGTGAAGGCAAACATGCAATTTAAAAGGAAACCATTAGTTTGCTTTAAACTAATTATTTTTTCTTACCTATTATTTACCTTAAAGGCCCTGAAACCCCATTAATTTTACTAACCTCTTGCTGTAAGTGGTACTGGCTATTCTACATAAAGGGTTTCTGTACTTCTGTACATTTCTCAGATCTTTTGTTTGAAGTGAATTGTGTTATGTTGGATAAAGTTATTTCCATGCACCAGTCAGAATAAAACAATGTAATAATCATAATCAGAAAGTGATGACAGTCACATTGTTTGCTTATGTTGTTTGAGGCACAATGGAGACACAACAAACCGGATCAAACTGCATACACACAGTCCTGAAGATTTGACACAGGTTAGCTTTCTGAGTGTTAAACTTTGATTAATTAAGTTAATTAGTAAGGTAATTAACTTTAACTTAGAAGATATTAAGTTTGAAGTTTCCCACATATTAAACAACAAACATACCTACCTACATAGTACTTATTTAGCATCATTGGATCATGACAATCATTGAACACAAAAGTGTGAACACCTTTATTATACAATCTTTAAAAACGAGTTTATTTATTCCCTCAACACCTCACACAAAATGGCTTTAAAAAACAAATGTGAGGAATGAAGGAGTTTTTAATGGATTAACTTGTTGCCCTGGTAAACACAAATTAACAAAACACATTAAATCATGAATTCAACTATGTAATTATATCGTATTTAAATTATATCTCCATAAGAAAAGGGCTGTGTAATCCACTTTTATTTTTTTAAATGTAATGTGTAATTCGTGTGTATTTTGTTAACTGTAACTAAAAAAAAACTGTAAAAACTCTTCATCAAGTCTTCATCCCTGCTCTGGGCAATATTCTTGCAGGGGTTCAGACTTATTTGCCCCTAAACAGACTACAGTGTCGAACAAACACAAGAACATGAGCGCTGAAAAGAAACTTATCCTTCGCGTCTGTGAATTAAAGACATAGTTTGCATTGTTGCGGGGTGCACTTGCCCCAGCTGCGGCAGCCTCGGGACAGACAGCGTGAGAAGAAAAAAAGCTGCTTTGACGTCAGCCACGTTAGATTTCAGTAGTCCAAGATGGCGGAGGTGAGCGGGGTGAGGAGCAGAAATCACTTCGAGCCCAACTGCAAAAACCGAGTCGTTGACGAAGGTAAACCGCTGTTGATTGTGTCTAATATATTTATGACAGTGAGCCGAGGGTGAAGTTGAACACGGGGGTTGAAATGTAAAGTGTTTTTTTTCCTTTTCTTCCTGTCGTCTTTGTCTCTTGTGAGTGACAAACTCTCGCTTTTCCGTTAGCCAGACGCTTGTGTTTTCAGTTGGGAGACCCGCGGTGTTCTGCCAAATGTGGTAACCCCAGCCAGAATATGTCTCCCCCCCTCTCCCCCCAAACACAGTCCTACTTTATTGTTTTAATCAGTTTTCTCTCAGTCAAGACATGCTTTCACTCTGTAAGTTGACGTTGGTGAGGGAGGAAAAAATAAAAAAGCTGTTGTTTTGTTTGAAACTGATTCTGACCCGGATATAATATTCAGCGGCGACACCTGTCGGCTCATTTGTCCGAGCCGTCACTTTCACCTGGCCCCGCGGCGGACCGGCGGCTCGTCGGTGGGTTTTTATCGTCTGTAAACCAGCCTGTAGTTGCACAGTCACTCCGTATTGGCTTCACCTGGCACCGTCTCTGAACTTTGAAACAGTCCGCGTTACGCCAGTTTCCTGTAACGGGGTTTCAGCCTAACTACACCAACGCATACGTTAATCTTCTCATCCCACTAATGACTCGGATATTTTTAAATACCCTATTATTAGTCTGTTTGTGAGCAGACTTAAGACGTGATTGCGGTGCTAATTTTGTCCTCTGAATACAACTAAGCGCATGTCTGTATGTATGTGCATTTTATAGCTACAAAGTATTTTGTGTATGAGCAGGAGGAAAACATAATTCAGTGTTTATACAGACGCTTACTGACCCAAAAACACAAAACAAGTAAACCATAGTCGGATATATGTAGCTCCCTCACTTTGCAGACTCATTGTGGTCACTATTGAATGTCCCATGATGAATATAAGTTAATTACAAATGTGTATATTATTAATTTCTGTATTCCCAAGCTTTTCAAAGTAAATATAAGTATTGCTTTAGTTGGGTTGGATGTTACGGTTGTTTAATATCAGGATAAATTATAACAGTAGCCTACGTATTGGTACATTAGCAAGGATGCATCTCCCCATCTGTGACAACATTGCCGTCTTTGAATTGGTTGTTTTATAGAGCTGAAACAATCAATCACTTAGTTGATGTACTGGAAATTGGCAACATCTGCAAACAGTCTAAAATGTGAATATTTGCTGCTTTTATTTGCTACTTTTATACACCAAGTAATTCATTGATTATTTAAAAGACAGTTGACGAACTAACAAATAATAAAAATCAGGAGCATCACATCCCGATAACCCTTGTGTCTACTTTCATACATGCCAGCTGACTCTGTGGCAACAACGTTCACTAACTGCGGCTGCTCTTAATCTGCACTTTGTCCTCACAGACTCTCTATTGGTCTACTTGCTGCAATTGAACATTTGCCCTCCTTGACTCTTGTCCAGGGAGGCCGGTCAGGTTGTCATTTGGCTCTGGTGTGCTGGGAAGTCAGTGTACCTGCATCTTAATGGGCTACAGTGAATTCCTCCTTCTTTTTTTCGTTAACTCTGCATTGTCTTGTTGACACTCATGTTGCCTAGTCACTTAGACAGTATTCATGTAAAATACAGAGTCTGGATCTGACGAGGCGAGACGAGAGCGTTGTGCCATTATTCTCTCTTATGATCCAAATGAAAATGGGAAATGTCCTAAACGGCAAATAGTTTACGTAATCTCGTCACTAACAGTTAGAAGTAGTTATTTTCCTTGCCTCTTTAAAGTGAAACCTCCCATATTTAGACAGCTGGTTAAATTAAGTGGACCATAGCCTTATCAAAGTCTGCCTCAGATATAGTGCAGGAGTCCAGGGAAGGGAGAGCTGATTTGGGACGCGGTGTGATGTAGGCTAGCTTGCGTAGACACACACTATTCTTGCCATGCATAGTTAAAGATAGAGCCCCATCAGAGGGATGGAGGGATGCAACATACTTGTGTGTTTGTGCGATGCTTTATGTGTGTGTGGTGTACTGTACCTACTCTTCATCTCTTGGTAACTGTGTGTGTGTGTGTGTGTGTGTGAGAGAGAGGAGAGAGAGAGAGAGAGAGTGTGAGTGAGAGTGTGTGTATGGGCAGGAAAACATGTAGGCCAGTTAACATCTGCTCTGTGCCTCCATAAGATAAGAAGTAAGGTAGCTAATTTTAGTTCTGCCCTCGTTTTTTTTTTTTTTTTTGCGCGCTGAGGAGTACGACAGTGCATTAGCCACTTTATCATGAAGTGAGTGTTGCAGTGAACGCACATATCAGCATTGCTAATGGTTTTTCACTGGCTGTTATGCTTCCTTGCATGCTTATTGTGTTTTGTCTCTCGCACACATTCTGCTGCAATACAGACTCCTCGCAGTCCCAGCAGAATAGTGTCTTTGTGTGAGTCCCCTCTGTGGCCGCAGTCTGTGCCACTTCATCCTGCTGAGTGCTGCTCTGGATTTGAAGGGAACCTGCACTGCCACAGACTAGGGAAATGTGCAGGGCTAATTTGTGTGCTGAGCAGATTACTGTAACTGCCTCGTGCTTGCAACAGTTCTTTAACACGAGCACAGCATTGCTGCTGCCCTTTGGGAATTTGCAGCACCTCTAGGTTGATCTTTGATTGCCCCATTTACAGTTGTCCTCTGGAGCAAGAATATCACCGATTTCAAAACTGCCCTCCCACCACCTTCAAATGGTCTTGGGTTTTGACAGAGTTGAGATGCTGCCAGTGCTGGGTCAGGGAGTCAAACAAGCCTGCATTTCCACAACTAACAAGTACATGAAACAAACAGCATAATAACTAAAAGTCATTGACTGTATCTTGAACATTGCCTGAATGTAGTTTTACAGTTGCGGCGGTCAATAGTAAGTTCTTTCATTTTCATTATGATTAATCCATATTGTTTCTTCACCACACGGTCCAGCACTGTGTTGCTTTCTTTTCAATAAAAATGCTTACTTGACATTCATTATATACCATTGTACATGTGAAGAGGTTTGAAGATCTGTCTTGTGTTCAGACTTGGGTAATGTGAAATCTAATTTGTGTGTTCGTTGCAAGATGCTACCTGAGGCCATGAATGGAGGAAAAGTTTAATATAGTATTAGCTGCTCTCTACCTGTGTCAACCACACAGCCAGTGTATGAGCATCCATCGGTCACGGCACAATAGTTTTTTTTGAGAGATGTTCTTGTGTTTTATATCTGTTACTGAATTAAGCACACTAACTTCAATTGGAAGTCTAAACCAGTAGATTCAAAAACAGTGCATTAAAAACAACAAAGAACCCAACTCATGACTTTAATATGTAGCTACATCTTTAGATAATTCAGAACATTAGAGCTGAAACAATTGGTTGATTTAATTGTTTAGACGACCGACAGACAAAGAAAAGAGAATTACATTCACATGTTCCAGCTTCTAAATTGTGAGGATGTGCTACTGTTCTTTGTCTTATGTGATGGTAAAAGTAATATCCTTTTGACCGTTAGTTGGACAAAACAAGACATTTTGCACCTTTTTGGCATTGAAAAAGAATCGAAAATGATCATCAGGATTTGTGTGTTTCTATTATTAAAGGGTAAATTATTAGTGTTCACTCTAACCTTACCAGTAACGTCTTTCAGGTTGTCATGATAGTTGGTGTTCGATGATGGATGTGCCATCAGAATTTGCTTTACTTGAGGTAGATGACATAGAAGGGTTTACTATATGCTGTATTAGTCTTACTATTGGATACAGGCGGCGTATCCAAGGTGTGTCTGTGAAGCAACAGCAGGAGCAATCTGTTGGGTCCCATCAGTTGGCCGAAACCTACATTTGTTTGTGGTGAGAGACAACTTGGCACAGTTGAATGGCTAATTAGTTGAAATATTTGAATGAGCAATGCTTGATCCTTGCTGTTCTACCTGTTCAGTGGACTGTGCGTCAGGTACATGGACACTTCCAGTACGTACTTCAGGGAGTGTCATCTTAATCCTGCTCCAGTGATTTTTATATCTGTAAAGAAAAGCCAGGAGTGAAGGTAAAACATGATAACGGTAGAGGGCTAAACATCCTTCTTTAACCTTTTTATTTGTGTGAATAATACTTCACTGAGGTCAAGGTAGAAAACTGCTTTAGATATAAAAGGTAAACACTTTTGTCTTTTAACATTTGAATTGTACTTTAATTGCATAAAATAATTAGAACTGTATTGATCAGTTAATTAATTGCTTAGTCAATAATAATAAATTGAGTGCAGGTGTTGGACTGTTGGTTAGACAAAACAAGACATTTGAAGACTGGAAATTGTCAATAATAACAATAGACAAGCTACTCATCTGCATTCTCTACAGTTTGTGGTGCAGCACACTTGCTCATCCTGCAGTCATAGCACTGTTACAGGAAAGAAGGAACTTTGCAATTTTTAGAGGAAATATGTGCTTTAGATTTAAAGGAAATACCTTCAGACAAACATCAAAATGACAGAAGAAAAATGTGAAAACGCTGTCCTCGTAACTTTCTTTCCTTATGTCCTTTTTGCTTCCCCTTTTGTGATTTTCAGTGCATGGGCTATTTTCAAGCTTGACCTAGATGTGTAGAGCAGAGTGGGCAACAGTATTTAGACCAGCACAATATGCTGAAAAGGTTATCTATTATTTGACCGCATATAGGGCATTTCACTTCCTCTTTAATTTCTTAGAACAATAGTCTCTCTCACACGTAAACAAACTTCTGACAATGAAGCCTATTCCTCAGAAAAATATTTTTCGGTTTTGCTACGTAACCCTGCCTCCACATTCTTCTCTCTCTTCTCACTTTATGTCCATTGTCTGTACACCAGCATGCAGCAGCCAGAGTGTAATTTTATATTTCGTCTCATTACTTTGTCCTGTTATCTAAAGGCTTAAGTGGTGTGGAAGATGTCCCCATTTATCGGCATAAGAAGAGGCCCCCTTTAGCCACCCCTGAAGACCTGGAGGATGAATTGCTTCCCAGGACCACAGCCTCAAACTCGGGCAAAAATGTTAACCTCAACCCCTCACCAGATGAAGAGATTCAGGAAGAAGAGGTAAAGCAATGTTACATTTACTACCATATTCCTGTCTATTGATAAGCATGTATACCATATCTAACTTAGAGTCCCAGTTTCTCTTTATTCTAATCACCACTCTCAACTTTATCTAGATTTCCCATTTTCCAAAAATTTGAAAACCAAAAGGTATTTAATTTTCTATAATGAAAGACAGAAAAAAGGAGCAAATCTTCACATTGAAGAAGTGCCATCCAAGGCCATTTTTTAGTAGTAGGCTCTCTTTTGATTGACTAATCATTTCAGCCTTAATGGCAGTGTTGATCACATGAATCCTGAAGACAGAATGGACAAATGAATGCATGAACTGTGTATGAACAAGAGGTACTGCAGACGAAGAAGAGAGTTCTTGTGTTTCTCACAAGGCATTTATATTCTTGAATACTAGCTGTGTCTTTGATTTACAGCAGGATCCTGAAAGTGTTTGTGTCGCCTTTCTGGCCAATCTCATCCTTGTGATTTTCAGTTCCCTCTCCCCTCCCTGAAACCACCAGTGTAATCACTTAAACCTCTGTCGATGCCAGGGAAAGCCCTGATTGATTGCTAACTCATGTCTTCAGGCTGAAGTAGAGGAAGAAAAGGCCAGGCCTATCCAGATCGTCCTGGCCAACGAGGATGAGCACAGCTTTGAGCTGGATGCTGCGGCGCTGGAGAAGATCCTCCTGCAGGATCACGTGAAGGACCTGAATGTGGTGGTTGTGTCTGTGGCTGGGGCCTTTCGCAAGGGCAAGTCCTTCCTGCTGGACTTCATGCTACGCTACATGCACAGTCAGGTGAGATAAATAATGTGGGATTTTCATATTGTTTCTGGACATACAGGGGTACATCTGGGGTAGAGAAAAGGGAACAAGTACTGAACACATGATAAGTGTTTCTTAAATGACGCTGCATATTGATTAGAAAGTTTATAATCCAGACAAAGTCCGCCAGACTTTAATACACTCTTATTTTGTATTTTTTTCACTTAATCTATAACAGTAGTGAGGTTATTGGATGTTTTATTGAAGAAGTTGCATCGTTGGTATTTATTGTGTAAAATTAGGTTACATGAGATTGATAATTTACTAATGCAGCTGATAATTAAATGGTAATTTTTACAGAGATAAAGCCGAGATTTTCCTCTTTGACTTCCACACAGCTATATGTAAAGTGTGTAAGGCTGCAACTCACAATTATTGTCTCTATGAATTGTTCGGCCTATAAAAAAAAGTGTTTGTATTTGTTCAATAGCTGGTGAATTCTTGAAAGTGTTCTTGCCACAGTGTTTTTATTAATATCAAAAGGACTAATCTGACCTGTTAATAAATCACAAAAGTTTTTACAAAGGCAAAGACCTTTAGATATTAACTTTATTGATTTTAAAATATGCCTGTAAGGGTCTTATTTACATATGATTAGCCTATCATGAAAATTTAGAAATGCAGCCTGATGCAGTTGTTCTTAATTGAACCATCTGTTAGTCAAATTGGTGATCTGACCTCATTTACTTATAAAATTAAGTTCTTGCACTGGTGCACAGCGTCAGTGAGACAGGCCCTTGCTGAAGGTATGTTTACATAAGCTGAGTAAACATTAAACGTCTCATCTTCCTTTTGGGCTTTTATTATTGTCTCACATTCGCAGTCGGTAGAGATTGTGAAAGCAGGTGGGCTAGATGAGCTAGTACATCAGATGAGATTACAACCAGTACTGGCATGTGTTTCAGAATGTGACAAGCAAAGACAAGTGCTTCCTGTTTGGTGTCATACTGAGATACTTACTCAACCAGGTGGGGTGCAGCAAGGTGTATGAATAAGACAGGGTGGTGTAACTGCTCTCAGACTTCTGGGTAGGTGAATTTTAAAGAGTTGCCGAACTCAATTAGATATAAATAAGATGGACTTTTATTATTCTGATACATCATGTATGTCAAGATTGTTTTCAGTCTAATACACCTAATGTTCCTGTGTGGTTACTGTCCTTTGAAATAATGTCTGTAAATATGAATAACACAAAGTGGCACATTACACACGCGCACACACACACACAAGCCCATTCTTGAGCATGTCCACCCAACAACTGTGTGACTTGCACTGACACAAGTGTCAACAACTAGTCGTTCAGACCTTCTGGCAGCAGCTGGACAGACAGAGGATCACCTTACGCTCACACATACTCATTAAGACACACACACACACACACACACACACACACACACACACACACACACACACACACACACACACACACACACACACACACACACACAGGCCAGACAGAACAGTGTTGGGACCCATTCTCACAGCTGTTGAGCAGCATGAATATGGGCATTCATCAGTCTGACCAGATCTGCACATGTTCACATTTTTCATCCAACACGGATGCTTTTGTTTAGCTGTTTATTTACATTTAATAATTATATATAGCAATTAATGTTACAAAGTATTACAGTATATAATATTTTTGGTTTGACTTGTTGTTATCAAATTACAAAATACCATTTTGCTTCGTCATAAGATCCTGGTTACACATTCAGCACAGATGTATTGTTGCACCAGGAATCAGTGTTCACACATACTTTGCCTTGCAAATCAGGTATTTGCTTGTGAGGCTAGTTTATACATTTCCTGTTTGTGGTCAGTGGTCACCTCACTTGTCAGCCAGAAATACAAACAGGTCACAGTAGCTGCAGTGGTGGTACGGCTCGACACGACACCACCCGCTTTTTGTACCTCTACTTTGTTTCCCACTGCAGCTAGAGCCCCCTTCAATGTACAATTGGGAAACCACACACTGGAGCTTTACTTTGGTCTTAAGAAGCTGCAGCCACACTGTACATTTACTGCCAGTTGACAGGATCGTTATATAATGCCAGTCAAAGTGTGGCCTGATGGTGGTGAATGTGCAGATCAAATTTCACACCAATTTCCCAGATTAGGGTTTTTTAAAATACAGTCTAACACTACAATACTTTATTTCACCACAGATACCTAATAAAGACAGTTCCTCATGAATATTTGACAATCTGAACCAAATGCTGGTGGAGTTTTTTTTTCTTTAAACCAATCTTCATCTCTTCTCCTGTTTCACTTTCCTCTCATCTTACCACTCCCCGTCTCCTCCCTCATCTCCGTCTGCCACAGAGTGAGTCGTGGATGGGAGGTGATGATGAGCCCCTGACAGGGTTCACCTGGAGAGGAGGCTGCGAGAGAGAGACCACGGGAATTCAGATCTGGAGCGAAGTGTTTGTGGTCGACAAGCCCGATGGCAGCAAGGTAGACAGATATCATACAAACAATAATATAATACCATAAGACCTCATGAGTTCCAAATGTTCTCATACATGTTTAAATTTGTTTTGGTAGAACCTGGTAAATACCAGGTTAGTATTCTTATTGAGATGTTTACATGTATAAGAAAGCAAACACAACAAACACCCTTCTTGGCCTACAGGCTGAAGTTGGCAGCATATAACATTTATTGCCTCTCGTCCCAACAGGTTGCTGTGCTCCTCGTTGACACTCAGGGAGCGTTTGACAGCCAGTCCACCATAAAGGACTGTGCTACTGTGTTCGCCCTCAGCACAATGACCAGCTCTGTACAGGTGAGACTTTAAAGTGAAAAATACACTGATGCTTTTTTATCTCTTGAAATGTCAACATTTATAGCTCATGTTGTGTGTGTTTTTTTTATCTGTTCAGGTGTACAATCTCTCCCAGAACATACAGGAGGACGACCTGCAGCATCTACAGGTTGGTGTCATTTCTTCTCCTTGCAGGAAAAAGCAGAACCAAAGTCTGCTGCAGTTATTTCTGTTTTCTGATCATTACTCTTTCTCCCATACGTAGCTCTTCACAGAATATGGCCGACTGGCAATGGAAGAGATCTACCTGAAGCCTTTCCAGGTACTGTCTGCTTCTGTTGACTGTGTTTGTGAACATTTTATATACATTAGATCCGATTTAATGAATGTCATATATCACTGAACGTGCACCTTGTCATAAAATCTGCCTATTCAATTAAATATGTGGCTGCACAGCAAGAATTTTATTTTTAATGAGTAATATTAGGGGATTATTAAAATACTAATTTAATAATAATTTAGAGAGGTCATTTCAGTTAGAATGTAATTGAAAACAGGAAAGGTATGGACAATCAGTGATCAGAGAACTGATCAATATCTAGCCACATAACCATTATTATCTAATCAAATACAACATGTCTCATTGTGTCTCTGTGATGTTGGTGGTGTGTTTCAGTCCCTGATGTTCCTGATTCGAGACTGGTGTTATCCTTATGAACACAACTACGGATTGAAAGGGGGCAACAACTTCCTGGAGAGAAGACTACAGGTGAGACTCATTTTATTTTCTACCCTGATATTTCTGCACATCGTTAAAGATACTTGTGCAGCAGGTCACACACTCACTGTTCTGTCATGCAATCCACATATTTTCGACAAGCACAGACATACCCAAAGTCGTTTGTTAAGTTCGCTCAGCGTGTCACATTTAAAATTCAAGTATATTGGTGTTTGCTGACACAGGTGAAACAGAACCAACATGAAGAGTTGCAGAATGTGAGGAAGCACATCCACTCCTGCTTCTCCAACATCGGCTGCTTCCTGCTGCCACATCCAGGCCTCAAGGTGGCCACCAACCCGTACTTTGACGGCAGGCTGAAAGGTAATGAAACAGGAAGATGCACATGTACTAATAATGAAGAGTGATATCCAAAGCATACTGGACTGTGATGTTCATGCTCCAGAGGACAACCAAGATGTGGGTTTGTGTGTTTCAGACATCGATAGGGATTTTAAAAAGGCGCTGGCCGAGCTGGTTCCTCTCCTACTGGCCCCTGATCGACTGGTAGAGAAGGAGATCGGAGGCAACAAAGTCACCTGCAGAGATCTCCTGGAGTACTTCAAGGTCTCAGGATTTTATTAAAATCTAGTGATTTTCACACTAATTTCTCATAGCCCTAAATTATTCACTCTGCTAACATAGAACTAGTCATTTGACAAACAAAAGTGTTAGGATGAATAAAGGTTGAAAATAAGTCTTAAAGTACTTTCCACGTTCTTTACTCACTGTGTTATTTGCATATTGAATATTAACATTGTACAGGACACACCGGTGTGATAATCTGTATTATTTTACATTCTTGCAGGCTTACATAAAGATCTACCAAGGTGAGGAACTGCCTCACCCAAAGTCCATGCTACAGGTCAGTTACAGTCTCAAAACCTAAAGGATTTTATGAAGTATGGGTCACATTTTAGGTTTTAATTCTCATCTTTTGTGGTCCTCAAAGCTATCTTGACTCTCTCTCTCTCTCTTTTCCTGTTTGTCAGGCAACAGCAGAAGCCAACAACCTGACTGCTGTGGCAGGAGCCAAAGACATGTACAGCAAGAACATGGAGCTGGTAAGGATGTGTTCTCCTTTCACAATCATCATGAGTCACAATAAATTCAATATTAATGTTGCCAAAGATGTCTAGATGATGCTGTAGTCATGGTCTGGCAAACTGGAAGTTGGAACTGGAGTTGCATGCTAATGCAAAGTCGGAAACTATTTTTGTTTTTCCTTAAACCTCTTCGGTCCATCACACTTTGTTCCTCTTTCATTTAAACTCACTTGTCCTTCCCTTTTCAGGTGTGTGGCGGGGACAAGCCATACATCGCCCCGACTGACCTGGAGCGCTGCCACGAGGAGTTTCGCGAGCATTCAGTGCGGTTCTTCCGGTCTGTGAAGAAAATGGGCGGCGATGAGTTCTGCCAGCGCTACCAGAACCAGCTGGAGTCAGAGCTGGACGAGGCCTACAACAACTTTTCCAAGCACAACGACGGCAAAAACATCTTCTACACGGCGCGCACCCCCGCCACGCTTTTTGCAGTCATGTTTGTCACCTACGTGGTGTCTGGAGTGACGGGCTTCATCGGTCTGAGCACCTTAGCAGCGCTGGCTAACTTGGTCATGGGCGTGGCGCTGCTGTCACTGTGTGCCTGGGCGTATGTGAAGTATTCTGGAGAGTTTCGGGAGGTGGGAACGATGATAGACCTGGTGGCAGAGACACTCTGGGAACAGGTGGGTAGTCGACATGAGAGGAAGGAAGAGAGAGTGTGTGTGTGTGTGTGTGCAGACTAATCTTGAAGGTTTTTTGAACAATTATTAACAATTAAATTTGTAAGGAGTGTTGTTATGGAATTTAAGCTTGAACTGATACACTGTAGGCTGAATGTTTTTTCATTAGAAAAGGTCTGGCCGATCTGTTAGGTATTAAAACAGTTTATCAAAGGTAGTTCAGGATCAGTGTATACAGTATGTCGGCTGATACGTAGTAAGAAATTGAAATACAGATCAGCCAAATATGTTTGAGGGAGTATAGAAACAATGTCTTCTTTACATTAGGGCTGAAACTAATGATAATATTTTTTATTAAAGATGAGTCTGTTGATTATTTCTTTAGATTAGAGAGACTATAGACTATAAAATGTCTGAAAATAAGTTAAAAGTTTTATTTATGGTGATATATAACTGAGAAAAGCTACAAATCTGTATATTTTAGAGGCTGAAGCCAGCAAATGTTGATAAAGAAGTCAAACAATCAGTTACAATAGTTCTATCTATTAATTGACTGATAGTTTTAGCCCTAGATTGCACAGTTTGTCCACCAGAGAGCACTGATGGGCTATTTTTGAACTGTAAAATGTTCCACTCAATGCTTCCTGGTCACAATTGGTTAATAGCCACATTTAAGTGAATATCAGCCAATATATTGTTCTTGGATTCTATAACTCTTAAAGATTGATGTATGTCTGCCAAAGAAACCCAGTATTGGCTTTAGTATTAGGTTTAGACCAGATTAGGCATTTAGAGTTAGGTGGTTGTTGTTGTTGTTGTTGTTGTTATTGTTATTATTATTATTATTATTATTATTGAATAAAATGTCATTGTCAGCTTGATACATATTTTGTTTTGCATACTACTGTGTGATGTTGGGTAGGGATTAAACCAAATATGTGTGTTTTGTCTTTGTGAGGCTGTCACTGCAGACATAAAACATGATCTGACCTGAGAGGTAGTCGGTAGGTTGTCAAAGCTTAGGGCAAGGGTTAAATAAGGTTTATAAGTGAGTAAATGGGTTTTTTTTATTTAATGTTTTCCCCCAGGAAAATAACACTACATAATGTGTGTATGTGTGTTGATGCCATTGGTTTCTACTGTCGTTAGGCTTCCCTAAAGTTCCTCTGTTGCCTTTTTATTTCTAGGTGTTTAAAAAGTCCAGAGAGAAAAAATCCTTCAATCAGTTTTGGTTTCCTTCTGTCCACTACATGTTTATTATTGTGTTGTGTCTCGTCTTCACATCCCATAATTCATTTCACAAACTCTGAAGAACCATTGTTTCACTCCACCTTTCAGCGCTCCCTCCACACAATCAGTTCTCCATCTGCAGACTGTACTCAGGTGTACAAATATGAAGCCACAGTGTTTGTGTTTCTTATCTATTTTGAGTTTCATGAATGTTTGGGGTTCACCACAAACGCAGCCCTCATGTCTCCTCTGACTGCTCCCTCCTTCCTCTGCTTTTGTCTCTCTTCCTCCTCTTTCCTCGCCTGCTTTACAGAAGACGGTCAGAAAGGTGAGAAGTGTCGCGTCTCATGTCTCTGATCTTCTCCCTGCCGGTCACAACATCCTGCCTCATTTCCTTTCACCTTCTCCTCCCCCTCCTTCTAGCAGTCTCCACATATTCTTTTGATTTTAATGGTTCAACATCTACCCTGTCTCTCATCTCTCCTTTTTTAACCTTTATTCGTCCTTCATCTACCCTCAAACGTCTGGATCTATCGTTCTCATATTTGTCCTGCTCCTGTGTCGGTCTGCCTGTCAGTCTTGTTCCTTGTTTAACTCTCCCGTCCCTCCCTGCTGTCCTCTCAGGTGTTTTCCAAACTTTTGGAGCCTGTCAGGAGCCGCCTGGCATGGCCCGTCTCTCTCCTCCCTTCATTCCCATCAGGAGCGACACTGGGACTCAGAGCTCTGTCTCCTCTCAACAACAACTACAAGAAGACTAAATAGCTGCTGGACGACCGGCGGATTCAGACTGTTAAACCTCCTTCTCGTATTGAAACTTCTGCAGTTTTTTGGCTTCTTTTATTGTTCATTTTCAGTCCAATGGTGCTGGATTCTTATACTTTAACCCCTGGGACCCACTCTGTGTGGACTCCCTCTGAACTTCACTGAATGTATCTGGACACTGGCAGGCCAGGCCCATCTCAGGATCTCAAGGACTTGAAGCCTGCTCAAACGGTTTTTAATAATTATTGTTGTTTTTTATTATTTGAAGGGGTTTTGGTCATTTGTGTTGTGGATCTTTTGTTTCTGTGGTCGGCATGTTGAAGACTGCATCCTGTTTTCGTTCCTTTTTTATTTAACGTTTTTCTTCCCTAACCTACTTTCTTTCAGTTTCTTTGTCCCCTTTTATAGATGGTTTTCAGACAAGTTAACTTGATTTGTTTTCATACAAGATCCTCTTTTTTGTCTTCTCTCCCACAGGTTTTGAAGCCATTAAGTGAACATTATATGGAAGACAACGTCAGACAGACGGTGGTTAACTCAATCAAAGCCAGCTTGACAGAACAAGGCTCGCAGCACACCAAGTTAAAGACTCACTGACACTCTTCCTTCTCATCTCTCCCCCCCCCTCGTGTTCACCACCCTCCTGCCCACTCGCTCAATGTGTTCAATCCTAGAACTGTGGAACTAGTTCAACACCAAAGCTGACCCTCTTTTTATTCCCCCGAAACGGCCATCATCACATCACTGCCCCATCTTTATTTGCTGTTGTGGACCTGTAGGCTCGCTGTGTGCCCTGCTCTTCATCGCCCCCCAGTGCCTCAGAGTAGAAACTGCACGTTCATGAGAGTACAGAGGAGAGAGCCTGGCAGCGGCTGCGTCTCTTGCCAAAACAGGACCTGAAGGACTGTCATCTTCTCCAGAGTGCCATGCTGCGCTAGATGAATCCTGAGTTGTAATGCATACTATAGGCTGACACACACACACACACACACACACACACACACACACACTGACATCTTTGCTGGTAGCGGACTACACTCACTTCAGGATTGAGCTGTAAATCAGGGAAAACTGACACCGCCGTGGGCAGCTGTTATCAACAATGGATGCAAACTAAAACCCGTTTCTGTGCATTTAATCATTTTGTCTTACAGTTCAGACAGTTCAGAGCTCAGTTTACTTCCTCTTCAGCCTGTTTAATTAACGTTTCCTACAAGCACAAGTGACCAATCGACTCAGAAAACGCATAATGAGCTGATTGTCGTGTTATTGATTCTACTGAAGCGAAAGTAAGGAGAGGCTATTTTAACTGTCAAATGTCCAGCCTGTCCTGGTTAACTGACTTATAAATGAACTGAAAACAGGAAATCAAGCAAAACTGCATTTTTCTTTCCTTCTGACATACTGCTAGTTCACCTGCCTCCATTCATTCAGTTTCTCCACAGTAAGTATGGGAGGCATGTTAACCAGCTGACCTAATCGAACTGGGCTCAGGTTGCTTCTGGACAAGACCTCTGTACGTCTCTCTGTCCTTCCCTTTAACATTGTGTGATTGTAACCCTAAAGAGAACTGTAGGAAGCCTCGAGCCTCTCAGCTGATGTTTGATCTGTTTTTAATTTAGAACTGACGTGTTTTATCTGGCCTTTAGTGTCTTGTAGCGGACCTGCCAGTAGTTGGCCCTCTGTGTGCTGTTAAGAGCTACCGTGTTGTAGCATTAAGCTAGCTAAGAGCTTTTAGAGCCCAGGCCTCTATAGTCAGGTAGTCAGGGAGGACTGTCATTTCGAACCATTTTCTCTTCCACTGCCTTTCATTAAAGCCACACTAGCCCTATTTCCCCCCACACGTTTTTAAGACCTACAGGCTGTAAGTTTGATTCTTGCTTTTCGGGAGTTGGAGATATACATCTTTTATTTCTTTAGCCCAAATTCAAAAGCTTAGACACTTTTGCTCTCCAAGAGGAGGAGATTGATACCAGTCTTATCTAATTCCTGGCTAGAAAGTGAGAAGTGTATCTCCCAGTGTTGAACTATTCCATTAACTGATGAGAAATGATCTGCCCACTGCCTTTTCCCCCTAACTCTAAATCACTGGACTCATGATACAATCAGTCAAGTAGTGATTTTTTAAAATGTTATTCCTCCACAATAGGAAGATTGAAGAAACCTGTCCTTTGATCTCTTTTTTTTTTTTTTTTTTTTACTTCAACAGCTGCATCACATCTGTCTGAGCTCTTTCGCATTGAATCCATCCACATAATTTCTCACCTCAAGCGCCAGTCTCGTACTGTACAGTCTCTCGTTTTCTGTGTTCACATATTACAAATCGGGCATGTATGTTGAATTAAATATTTAAATAAACTTTGTATACATTTTATAGTGAATCAGTTGACAATGGCTGTTGTTTTTCTTCTTCTCTTGATCAACTTAACAGTCTGTGGTTTAAGAATGATAAGTTGCTGCTGTAGGGTTTACACTAGTTGTCTCCTCACGAGGACAGACGTTAATAGAAACGTGGTGTGAATATTCGGACTCTGATAGGAAAATCTTTTGGTTGTGATGAGTGGGTTTGGAGACGATGTCTGTCTGCCTTTTAAAGATATCTCTGGTAATTTATTTTTGAATAAAATGTTTACCTTAAGAATAAATGATCTATACAATTCTTTCGGCTCCTTTTTCGTCTGTTCTTTTTGGAGTGACTTTATTTGAACCAAATGACACACTGTCACATTTCAGTTGTACAGTATTCCTTACACAGCTTTTACATTCAAGCACAGTTCTCTAAACACATTTCCTCGTATCACATTTCTTCCATTGCACTCACGCTGCCAACACAAAGCAACACAGCACATTTCTTAGCAAAGTTATGCAGAGGGTCTTGATTGTAAAATCCATGTGTATCTACTGTACTGTGATAGGTTTGGTTTCAGAAATGTGGACACAATGAAGATTGATTTAATGCACTAACTGTACTTAAAGCTATTACAAGGAGTTTTAACTGGCTATTTCTGTAGAGTTATTCTTAATGCCTGTCAGCAGGTCGGATTTGGTCCAATTCCCCTTGAAATCAATGAAATGAAGCTGGGGAAACCCTACCAACATTTGTCCACAGGGGCAGTTCCTAATGCTGCTTTAAAATAGTTTTGACACTTTTATAACAGATAACTGTTATATCAGCAGCTTCAACACAAATACTTTTCTGTCTTTGATGTAAAAAATTTTTATGAGAATATAACTAGATAAATATATCCAAAAAACAACATTGGCCATAGACCTTCTCTGTCAGCCCTGAGAATTATAGGTCTTCCCTTCAGTTTGCTTAAATAGTAAATGATCATAGAAACAACACAATAAAAAATATACAACACAAAATCACACATTAAAGGCATTTGGAGAACAGCTGGACAGTGAGACAACAGTGTTCAGAGAGATTTCAATAGGGAAATCAGCCCGACACAGTAAAGGTGAGGGTAGATGGGAGAAATGGAAATTACACCCCTTGTTGCCGACTTCGAATGCACTTCAACCAAAAAGTTCCCACATACACACACGTTGTTTTAAATTGCTCAGCAATGTTTTTAAAGGATGCATGCGATTCTGAAAGTTGTGTTTACTGTATTTTAGACCAGTGCTTCATTTTGGTGAGAAATGTGAGGTTTAGTGAGCTGTGTGTATAGTCTGTGGATAATTGTGTTTAATGGTAACTTGAGGTTTATTTTAAGAAATGTGTGTAAACAACATAGAGAAAGTGTCATGGGAAAGCTGAAAAGGAGTAGACGTTTTCTACTTATTTGCTCTCTCAATGTTAAATTGTTACATTTCATGGCGGTAGTATTGAGAAGAGTTTTCTTTGAGCAGAGTTTGAGAGTTGCTCAGTCAGTGGCCTTGATTCATAAAGAAGTTACCAAGAAAAAAAGAAAAGTTCTCTGGAACTAACACTGAGGAATTTTCATGTGTCCCTCAGCTAACTTCATTATTCAGTCTCATGCAGAGGCAGCACAAGGAAAAGATCAGTGGTGATCAGCTGAGCAACACAGCCAGTTTATACTGTACGTTCAAGATAATTAAGTAAAGGGCTGCTTGTATCAGCAGAGGGACCTGAAGAAGCCTCTGTGTCCAGATGTTTCATAACACAGTACTCATCTCCGGCTGTATCAGCTGAGATGTTTGAGCGGTGAGTTTCCAAAAATGACCAACAGGAGGAGCCAGATTCTTAAAAATACACGGTTTTATTTATCACAGAACGGTTTTAAGCTGCAGTATAAGCAACATTTTAATGGTCCAGACTCCCATAGCAACAAAACAGGGAAGAACAGACCAACGTTGTGCTTTCAAACAAACAGGCTGTTAATATTGTGTACAACTAGAGCAGACTTAAAAAACAAAAAAAAGGGCATCAAAAAAGGACAACAATGCAAAGAAACAAAATGATAACAATGACAGCCCCCCCCCGTCTTAATAACATAGCTAACCCGGCGAGAGCCAAGTGGTAAAGTTTGAAAAATATACTAAAAACTACTTGTGATATAAAACCTCCAGGAGAACACGTTTTATGAGAAATTTGTCACAGGCTCAAGAAAGTCTCCTAATCTCACTCACAATGGCACGTTTCATGTCTGCCACATCTCTTCTTCTCTTTGCTGCGTTCAATCGTGGCAAAATCTGTGTGTGTGTGTGTTAATCAGGAAGACACAGTAACAGTAAAAACTGAAAAATCGAGACAGAAAATGCGACCTCTGTTTCTATTCAGTGAACTCGAGACAATTTGAAGTATCCGGATGTTTTTCAGACAACCAAACAGACCCACTCCGGTACGACTTCGTCTAAAAACTACACAAGAGACAAACACAAAACACGGCTCTCTAAGACAATGAACACTCAGCGGTAAGTCGCCCAAAATTTGATTAAAACCTCGTCTTTAGGATTTAGACCGTCCTTACATTCTTTGAGAATTTAACAACTTGTTATGCAGAAGTTTACACACACGCACGCACACATGCACACACACATGCACGCACGCACATACACACACACGTTTGATGGGTCATGACCTCCCTTCAAAGTTCATCATTTTCCCATGTTGTCTTTATGTTTTTGGCTTGATCAGAGTTAAAAGCTGCAACAGTCCGGAGTGATGTAACGTTCATGTTTGATGTGCAAACTTTTTTTTTTTTTAACAGTCACGTTGAGGATCACAGTTTATAAACTGATGGGTTGAATGTAGACGAGCCAAACGCCAGAATCCAAGAGCCTCGTTTATAAAAAGAAAATGTGTTCAGACTTTATTTACACACCCTTAAAACTTTATATGATTTCTAAAGAATGTGAATGTTTAAAGAACGTGAAAGAAATTTGTCATTTTACATACGATCAAAACATTATCGTGATCCAACATTTTATCATTGTCTTTTTTTTTTTGTGTGCAAAAGAACATTTTGTGAATGAGGCTCTGGGATACTCTGTGTGACAGAGGTCGTCATTATCACTGCCTGGGCTCAAGATTTAGGGAAATTTAAAACACACCTTGAAGAATTCCTGTTAAGTCCACTACGACTTATTGTTTTTTTTTTTTAACACTTTTGGTTTAAATTTGCTTGTTTTACTCTACAACATGTTTGATCAATGGCATCGGTTGGAAAATATCACCAAGAAACAGGAAAAGAAAAATTCAGTAACATGTTTCAGCTTACATTTTTTGCCAAAATGGCTGTATGAGACAAGTCTCTACTGTATACTTCAGAAGACCGAGGTTCTCTAGTCTTCTATCTCCACTCAGCCGGAGACAGTCGTCGAGGAGTGTGACTAGTCCAGTTATTGAAAGGTTCTCCCATTAACGGGTAAAGACAGGGAGAATGTTGGAAGTGGTCTAATCTACATCTACTGAAAGGTCTACTGGAGATTTTAGACCATGGCCCGGAAAGCAAATGAGACTGCGGCCCCCAGCGCCAGGCCAAGGGACAAGAAGAAGGCCATGATGGCCCCCGCGGTCTCCGACTCATGCTGTGGCACCTTCCTGTACAGGGACGACAGAGGGACAAAATGCATTAGGAATGAGTGGTTCGCCATTACACACACTGATGTTTGTGGTAAGGTACAGATATAAAGGAATAGTAACATTACAGGAAATATGTTTCTTCACTTTCTCTCTAAGAGTTGGATAAAAACTGTCACTGATGTTTTATGAGTTTTAGCATTTGTTTTGTATTTGATTACATTTCCTTTCAAGTGTTTGTGAGTTCTGTGTTTCAGAGCAAGATAAACATCTCCTTGGGGTTAATTGAGTTAAAGTTAAAAGTTGACCTCTCTCATGTCTTTGCCTCAAGTACGGAGCAGTAGCCCGAAGCCGGTTAGCTTAAAGTGAAGACTGGAAGCAGAGGAAAACAACTAGCCTGACTCTGTCTCAAGTCACTAAAGCTGTAACTATTTAGTGACGATCAATGCTTTATCCATCTACCCAGTACTATGTGCAGCATCTCTGCTGGTTGCCCGGCAACCTCATTATAATACTAGAAATAGTTTCTGGACATCATTCGCTCTAAAACCACAAATTGTTTCTACGTCTCTGTTCATGCACGGATTTAACAAACAGTGTTCCTCGACTTCGCTTTGAGTTTTAGAGGTGGTGCGAGGATTACTTCTGCACTTTTGAGAGAGACATCTTTTTTTCCTTTATGCTAAGCTAGGCTAATCTCCTCTGGAGTACTAGATTTAGTATCGCACTCCTTTTTACAATGTTCACGATGGGCAGTTAAATAAAATTTTAAAAATCAGTAGAACCTGAGGTATCGTCTTTTTTTATTCCACATTTTTGTTTCATGTCAAACTTGGCCTCTACATTACCCACAATGCAACTCGACAGCTGATAGTTGTTACGCTAGTAGCAGCTAATTTATCTTCAAGCTTTAATCAGATATCAGGAGCAGGCCTACAGAGGTTGATTGAGTTCACTTCTTACTAACTACAGCCCAGACTGTTTTCATCGTCAGACCAACCAGACGCTGACTTAAGTGACATCACTTGAGGAAATTTATCAGACAGCACCCTTTTGAGCCACAACTTCAACTTTTTTTCACAAATGCAGTAGAACTCCCCAAGATCTGTAAACAGACTCCCAGTTCCCGTTTAATAAACACGAGAGTGGTTTCAATCTTATATCTTCTCAGAAATGATCTTTGATCATGAACATCTGCCGAAACTAAAACTGGTCAGTCTTCAAGTACATATTTCCTCCAAGTTTACAGTCAGTGTGTGTGTGTGTGTGTGTGTGTGTGTGTGTGTGTGTGTGTGTGTGTGTGTGTGTGTGTGTGTGTCTCTGGCGCTTACTTAGGTCCAAAGCACATGCAGAGACTGGCCAGGTATCCGTTGGAGAAGGAGAAGAAGATCATGAAGATGATGTACCAGGCATCGTGGGAAAACAGGACAGGGAGATAGTTGCGGGGCTGGACGTTACACAGCATGAAGAGAGGGATGAAGACGACCCGCAGACCCACCAGGACAGGAAGCCAGATACTGTCTTTACCCGGCTGGAGGGAGGGAGAGAGAGAGAGAGAGAGAGAGAGAGAGAGAGTATATCAACCACAGGGACACTGTAACAGACTTCTGGGTGTTTTATTTCCCACACTCTAAATACAGAGATGTTGAGGATCAGCATGAGTACTTGCTTTGGGCGTGAGTATTCATTAAAAGGACCAGCGTGTAGGAGAAACTACGGTGGCCACGAAAACTCTGAATGTGAAAGGCGTCACACTGCCCTCTGTTCACATCCCAGTTAGTTACAGCCTGCCATGCTGTTGCTTTGTGTACAATGAGTCCATCGGCGGTTGTTTTGTTATTGTTTTTTTAACTTTGCTGATTTAATGGTCTGCCTCTGAAGACTGGGAGCTGCTGCTTAGAGACAGACGTCCACATTCACAGTACACACACACTGAGCTGAAGAAGCAGCAAGAGTAGAGCCAGAATATTTCCACATCTAACTCTGTGAATTAGAGTTTATTTCATCCAGTTTGACGACAGGGAATTACAGTAACAAGGTGATTTAGAACAGCTCCGACCGGGACTCTGAGGAAAGGGATGTAAGAGTGGAGCGAGAGGGAGATCGGGCATCAGAGAGGCTGCAACAGCGTGTAGAGGTTTTAGTGAGTTTTATTTTATTTGGAGAGTTTGAATTGAAAAGTGTATTTTAGGATGAGTTAAAGCAATCAAGCTAGTCTTAGTTTGGTAAAACACAGAAGTTCAAAGTTGTACTGTTCTATTTTTCTGTTAAATAAGGCAAACAGGTGTAAGAATATTTCCTTTCTCGATACTTAGTGAGTTTATTTTGTTTACTAAAGCTAAGAGAGCTTGCGGCACGTAGCCAACTCGCTGCTCATCTCCCAGCTGATACTAATGACTAACTATCGGCAATTGCTGGCTGTTGGGCTGAATTTTTAACGTTACTCTGAACCCTATTACGTTATTAGCAACTATTTAGATGATCAATTAATTGGATTCATCAAACAAAGTTGCCACACACAATCCCTAGTTCCAGCCTCTCACGTTTCTGCTTTTCTCTTTAACAGTTTTTTTTCTTTTTTACAGTAATTTAAGTCACAGCTTTTACATCATCATAATTTTAATAGTGAAAATCAGTGAAAATTAAACTTGTGATTAAAAAATAATCACAAAATGCTGTTTTGCACGGCAAATCTGAGTTCAATAACAGATTCATGTCTTAACACTATCAATTAATTTTAACTTAACAATCAAACCTAGTGGGAGAAACATGTTTAAAAACACGACGGACCGTAGGACCTGGAGTCACAAAGCACCTCAGTGGAAACCGTCCGGATCCTGATCAGTGTTGTCTTATGATGATAAATAAACTCACATGGTCCTGGAGCAGCTGACTGCCGTTATCTCCACTGACATACCAAGAAGCTGCATTCAAGTGCAGGTCAGACTGCGTGAACTAACTGTACTCAGTTTGTACAGAATGAACTGATTCAATTTAACTATTTCCTCCGGATCGCAGGAAATTAGACTTGTTTGTTAATTTATTATTTTCTGGAGAAAGTTTTACAAGATCTGAATTTATGCTGTGAAAGGAATGACAAAAACGGTTTGGATTATTAAATATGAACGAGGTGAGGCATCGAACATCAGACAGTTGGAGAGACTGTGAACCTAAAATAATGTATTAAAGGCCAAAAATGCCACGTATAATATACACAATACACACAATACTCAGATAGCAGCACTGAGGGCTTCTTATCAGGTCATGCAGATGTGCATGTAGGAAAAGAGTCAGCAGACCCTCAAAATCACCAGACCCACACCCACACACTTGTGTCTAAAACAAACTGACTGACTGATGTTTTTCCACCATTACACTCATCATACCTCAGATTTATTAGCGTGTCAACATTTAATGCTGCCAAAGGGTTTCATGAAAGTGTCAGTAAGTGTGTCTGTTCTCCATGGCACCATACAGACAACAGCAGGTCACACTAAATATTTTGCTTTGGTCATTTTAAATAGATTCCATAAAGCAAAAGTGTTTGTAAACCAGAGTGCTATTAGTGAACAGGATTTGTTGACAGGTGTGGTAGCGACGTTTAAACACTGGTCTTTGTCCTTACTACAACCTGGGACATTTTGAAATACGCTCCCGCAGTATTTTACAGGCGTTATTAGTGGCAGTGAGCATAAAAGTGACCGTAGGGTTCTCACTAGTCTAGCTGTATCCCCAAAGACCGGAGACCACCAGGAAGTTAAGACAACATTTGTGATCAAATTTCTCCTGAATAGATCCATTAAAACAGCAGGAAACTTGACAGTTAGTTGGGTCCAAGCCTGTGAACTACTTAAGCTGGCACTGAACCCAAAGAGGAAGCCTGGACCTTCAGAGCGGGTTAGAGAGGCCGAGCCCTGTTGGTAAAACGTGTTATTTGTGTCGTTACTGACCCACATACAGACAGCTGTCAGACTCCTGCCAGCCCAGTCCATTAAGTTGAAGAGGAGGAAACATGACACAGGGATGAAGTATGTTCCTGAAGAGGGACCAAAACAAACAAGCTGTTGTTAGCAGCAACAACAACAACAACAACAACACTGCTGATGTCTTTGCTTGTAAGAAAACATACATCAACCTATCCTCTGTGGGCCTGAAAGGTGAAGCTGAAGAGTTTGTAGCTTTCTCCTCCATGGAGGACGGCAGCTGTGCTTGGATTCACTGCTGTTACTTTATTCCAATGGCATCCAATCAAATCATCCTTAGAAACATCTCAAGCTATTTTTTTGCTGTGACTCTGGGTCCTGTGAATCCAAACTGACAACTGTGCTGCAAAAGCTCCAAACTTTTCAGAGCTACACTGCAAGCCTAAAGGGACATGGTGTATGCTTAAAGGTTTAAAACTCATATTTATAAATAAATCCATGTACACAGAATTTTCAATTTACACTAAATAGATCTGCAACGACAGCAAAACAAAGTCTACGTCTAAAAAAGACCAGGAAAGATAAAGAAGTCCAGTTTTACTGTTGAATTAAAAGCCTTCCAACACATTTGTGCCTCAAAGATTTCATCTTTGCCTGTTGGAGACCAGGGTTAACTGAGCACATCGCTGGTTGTTATTTTGGGTGTTTTTATGCCTGCGCAAATATGGCAGCAATCTGCGCTTGTTGGGCTGATGGTGGCCAGCCAACCCTAACTGGAGACAGTTTTCCCCTTTTAACTATAAACAGGAAAAATTATGTGAATAGGTTTAAAATGTTTTATTTTGGATTGTCGTGCAACTATTTACTTCTAATTCTCGCCCCACAAAAAACTTCATCTTACTGTGTGAGGTTAGGGGTTAAATATCTTACATCTTCTTTTTGGGAAACAAAAACATTCTCAAACAAGCTGCAGAATTCATGTTTTAACAGGGTCCTCCCTCCCAAATGACAGATGATCAGAGTTACTGTAGCAGTATAGCTTTGTACAGATGTTGGAGGCTGGAAATGGAGACTCACCCCAGGCGTCTCCTTCTTGCGCTACAGTGGATCTGACGTCAACTGTTACGGCTGGGAATGTTCCGATGGTGACGGTGAAGATGAAGCACACTGACAAAGCCATCACCCAGATCTGATCAGAGAGCACAAGTCAAACGTAATCAATATTATGTAATCAGGAGCTGATTATCCGAACTGCTGATGGGATGTTGAATGGCAGATTTAGATATCTACTATTACTACTAAACGGTAAAAATGTGTCATATCAGCTTCTATAAGTGTGTATATGTATATATTAACAGACTGTTGGGCTGCTGACAAATCTATGATGCATTTTAATCCCTTTGTGTTCATATGTGACAATGTGAGAAAGTCTTCTCACCTGTTTGAAGATGTTTACCACAGACACGCTGGGTTTGGCCTCGTCCTCCACCAGACTCACCACCGGCCGCTTCTCTGCTGGACTCTCTGAGAGACAAACAAACGGCTGTCTATCATTATTGTTGGTCAAGAGACACATGGACCATCATTCCCACATCTGAGTGAGTGTACACATGAGATTTCAATTGTTATATAACATACGATTCCCATTACATCACTCGCACACTAGTAACTAACACTACAGGATCACATTGGTCAGTCGAATTATCTTTGGTTGATTTTAACTTCTAATGATAGTGTTATATTTTTTCCAGACGTCCTGCTCATTTTCCGCACAGACAATGTCAGGAGACTCGCAGTTAGAGCCCTTTCGAGATTTGGATGGACATGAAACTCTCTTGATTGAATCACCTGTGCAACAGATGCGCAACTGTGTTATAAAATGTCTGGTTTCTCTTCTGCCTGAAACGTAACAAACAGAAGTACAATCCCCAAGATTTCTATTCAAAAACCTCCAATCGTAATCTTAAACTAAAAGATTACTCTAATGTTCATCTTCAATTTATGAATAATTATTCATTTTTGGAAATAGGAACCAGAATATCTGAGCAGTGAGCAATGTATGTACCTTTTTTAAGCAAGTCCATCTTGTTCTCCTCGTCAGCAGAGGGTCTGGATTTATTACTCTCCATATAGTACTGGAAAAACTCCTGTTGACAAAACAAACAAACAAAATCCATAATGAGCCCATTCCACTGAGCTGGCAGGGCAAACACCATGTTCCCTGAGATGCTGTACATTCACACCGGCAGTGTTTTCTACCCCCTCACACACTCTGGACTGATATCAAAAAATGACATCATAAATCATCTTTCTGAAAGTGCTTATCTTAAAGCACTCAGCACTTATCTCAAGTTTACAAACTGCTTTCCAGAAAATGTTTCCCAGCATGGGGACACGTGTGTAAGTGGTTTAAAACAAACATCCTCATGACAGAAAACACTAGAAAGAATTTCACTCTGTAAGAACATTCAGAGAATATGAGGTCTTACCATCCTGGGCAGAGTGAGGTAGGACAATATGGCCAACAGAATGACAACGCAGGCTGTGATGAAGTAACCAAAAGCGCTGTCCTGCAGGGCTGATCCACCTAGAGAGACACACACAGTCATTGGTATCATGAGTATTGATTTCACACATTTAACTGTTGTTCTTGTGGCTCACAGCAAACTCCAACTGCTGGATTATATCATTTCATTAGGGCTGAAAATAATGATTATTTTGACTATCAATCAACAAATCATTCTTGATTAATCAATTTATTGATTTGTTTATAATAAGGTTGTCAAAAGTATCAATACTCTGATACCTTTTCAATGCCGCCATATTCAAAATAATACGATACTATTCAATAATATCGAAAGCTTTCAACCCAAGGCAATCAGCTGATAATCAATCAATAGTAATCACATTTGGGGAGCAACAGATTACATGTAACTGAGTTACGTAATAAGCATCCATTACATTTACAGTAAATAAAAGACATTACAGGTATATTTTGTAAAAATGTGGATTATTTAGCAGGATTACAATTTTAAAGTACATCAGTTTTTGTTTAAAAATACAGTTTTGATGCTTAAAATCTTTCTCTGTTTTCATTTTTTTTTCAAAAATGACATTATTCTGTTGTCTTAAGAATATACTCACATCAGTACTTCTTGATATTATTTTCCTCTTTTCTTAATTCACATATTTGGTGTTGAGGTAATCCAAAAGTAACTTAAGGTTACATTACTTTAATATTTTGATACTTGGATAAGGTTTAACAGGTAATAAGATTTTTAAAGTAATCCTTTCAACCCTGATAGAAATAATGTTATTATTATTACAAATGTGTAGGTCTATGTTCAGGATTTTTTTCTGTACCAGCACCATGTGCAGGTTTATTAAAGAGAATTATTTATTATTAGTGCTGTCAAACGATTAAAATATGTAATCGCGATTAATCGCATTAATGTCATAGTTAACTCGCAATTAATCACACATTTTTATCTATTCTAAATGTCCCTTGATTTCTTTTTGTCCCACAATTTTTTCTTATTTTAATGCTCTTATCAACATGGAAAAGTAGATCAGCTTGCTTAGTGCAAATGTTGTTTTTATTGAAAACAACATTGGCATATACTGTAGTGGTCAATTTCACACTAACATCATCCATTGTCGCCTGGCTTTGGCGAGGGGGCGGAGAATTCGCATCCGCTGTGTGCTTGGCCATCAAGTGGTATTTCAGACTGGACGTGCTGCGATGATAGCTCAGTTCACAACGACAAAACACACAGATTTAAAAGTAAACTTTCCATTCAGAATATTATTGCCCTCCATTTCGGCGTCTTGTGCTCGCCATCTACTCAAAACGTAACGTCTACTACTCTCAAACAAGTGTGTGCGGCGTGCCTGTTGTTTTGTTTCCGGTCTAGCTAGATCCGGTGTGGTGTTGTAGTTTTTCTAACGTTACTATTTGTTGCAACAGCAGTTAAAATGGGTTTGTGTTAACGTCGTTAATAACGTGTTTAACTGACAGCACTATTTATTATTAACTTATTTTGTGTGCTTGTGATTGGATTTTAGACTTTTTAAGGCCCCACAGACACCCTCAAGGAATATCTGCTCATCAATACTGCGAGCTACAGACTGTACAGTGAACACAGGATGCATTTCTTATGAAGAGATACCAATACAAACATGAACACAGTAATACTCCTGTACTAGCAGCACGCTGAAGAACTTTATGATTATATGTGTGTGTATTTGTGTGTGATGTCTCTCCATATATGTCACCTTCTACAGGCACCATAACATTGAAGTTAATGACTCAGTAAACAATTAGTCCATCACAGGGACAAAGAAAGTGAGATATGTCCAATTCGATGCAGCCTGCTGTAGTTAAAAGCCAAGAAAACAGATAAATTACATGTTAGATGTGATTGAACTGCATAAACATGTCTGAGTCATGTCCTCTAGAGAACATCTTGACAGGAACAATCCCGCGTGCCAAAAGGAACTTCCAAGCAACTAATTCTGTTTTTATAATTATGTCTAGAAGGTCAAATTCAAAGAGCAGCCAACATACTTTATTGTTAATCATTTACCATTTGGCTGACCTTTTACCAAAACATAATGTATCATTGAACACATTTAATATTGAACAAATATTTGTGTGAGTGTTTCACTTCAAAACGTATTAGCTACACAGTCACTATTTTCTTAGCAGTTCAAATTACAAATTGTGCAAGATAAGGGAAGTCATATATTTTAGAAATGGCACTGTAGTAGACAGGGAATGTGCTAGACAGACCAGTGCTACCTCCTAAAAAGTGTTCAGCACTGGTAGGGGTGCTGTCTGGTACCAACACCTGAGCATCTGTTATTCTAATGATAGAAGAGGTGAACTACTGCTTCATGTGTGAGACTTACTGGCCAGTGCGCAGATCATGGAGAAAGCAGCGAAGGTTCCAGCCAGCCCCTGTCCACTCATGATGGGTGTGGTGTAGGAGGCAGGCAGAATCCCTGCAAGCCCAAACAGACTGCCCTGAAGAATTGCCCCGAACGCTGGGGAGGGACACAGAAAAACAAGACAAGGATGTTTAAGAATTTGTACACACAAGAGTCACTGTGACACAGAACAAACACATTGTCCCAACAGTAAAAGAGGCCCCTCGCTGTCACAAACAAGGAGAGACGACACCCTTTCTAAAAGCAACAGCAAAGTAACAGTTAGCTGCAGAAAACCTTCTGCGTCCACTAAGAGGAATGTGCAGACGTCGATATCAAAGCTTCAAGGTCACTGCGTCCTCCTCTCTAAATCAAACACGATGGGCTGTTCCTCATGAGGACCTGGGGGTCAGGGCTGGCCCAGCAGGGATAAAGAGGGGGTGAGCTTATCCCCGCTGCTGAGTGAATCATTGTAAATAAACAACCCTGTGAGATTACAGACTGTGTTCTGAAGCTCAGTGTGGTGTGAGAAAGTGGAGGATTTTCCCAACACAGTGGATGTAGATGATGTTGATCAAAGACGGAGAAAACACGTGGAGATAATCATTTGCATAATTTTAACATTAAAATGATATAAAGGGAATCCTTGAAGTATACAAGTAGTAATGCGGTCTAATACAACAGCCCTGCAGTACGTTCATTAAGGTTATAATAATGTTCAATGATTATAACCTTGATTCAATTTTATGGTTATTTTGGTGGCTTTCGATGGTGTTGCTATGGAACTGTACTGTGTTATACTGTGAGGCGTTTCTAATATTTAGTCTACCATCGTTGATATAAATGGGGTCTAAGGTCAAGCTGCTGAGATCCACAGTTTCTGAGGAGCAGATGACCTTTATGAAAGTAGCATTTGTTACAGGTCTATTGTATAAAAACAACCACTTAAACAATCACTTTTTCTTGGCCTGCCCAACGTTTCTACCTTGATAGGCATTTCTTCCTCGAATCGCCACACACTTCTAAGATTTGTTCAGCGATTAGGTAGATTAGCACTGCAGTGCTACGTGGAGAGGCACAATCAATTCTTGTTAGTTTAGAAACTCACAGTTAATGCAGATAATTTTGATCATAGTGAGGGTGAAGAAGGGCAGTGGGGCCACGTCAACCTTCACCAACACGGCTGTCAACAGGAAAACCACAAGGATGACCACCAGGCTGCCAGAGATCCGCAGCTTCTGAGGGATCCTGAGTCACACACAGCAAAGAGAAGTGAAAATACAACGTATGATGTCTGTTTCTACACAACCCACCCAAACCACCTCAAGAACATTAGCCATAGTCAGTTTGTCAGCAGGAGAAAGACAAGATACCTGTTTAAATCTGACACGAGAAAGGAGAGAGGGAAACATGGAAGAGTGGATTATGATTTATTGTTGAAAACAAGTTTAAAAAAATTCTGTTAATGACATTATGACAAGAGGGTCAAGTTGAGGCCTTTCCAACAGAAAGCAGGAAATAAGAGTGCGTTGGGTCAATTCACAATGAGCAGTGCTTTGTTCATCAGAAAAGGAAACTGTCTTCTGGAGAGAAAAACAGGATGAAAATAGACAAAAAAGGTCATCAGAAATAAAGAGAGTATATTGAGGAAGTGTGGGACAGCGGGAGAAAAAGAACAGAGGCAAAGTTTGGAAGAGACGCAGAGAGAGGTAAAGACTAAGATGGTGGGGGAAGTAGAGAACATAAATAGCATTCTTGGGTGTGTTTGTGCAGGGGGAGAGTCGGCCGTGGTCGGGGTCCACCCAAGATCTCTCTCAATCCAACTCTGATTAAAGCAAACATACTGGAGGCACACTGACATAGATTCACATAACAGGGTCATGTTACCTTTAGTGGTATGGGGTGACAGGGGGGTACCAGTAAGCAGGGGGGCAGGCAGAGAGAGTGGGAAAGTAAAGATGCAGAATTAAGTTCCTTCTTTGAATGTAACGTCTTGTTTTACCATTTCTCCCTGTAATAAATAAACTAAAATTTCACTTTGTCTCATGATCTTACTGTGTTCTCTCCAAATTACTCATGAAAACAATATATGTATTTTGCCCGTTAGGCTTTAACTCACTGTTTGGTGTTGGTGGGGAAGTGTACATAGCAGACACAAGACTGAAAGTTACATAAGTATAAGTCAGTACGGAGCAGCGTGGATACCTCTGGTGTATGAAGGAGTTGAGGCAGGTGAAAATGAGCAGAGGTACCATGGCGCAGAGCGTCATCACGTTGTTAAACTTCGACTCCAGCACAGTGCGAGTGTCCCCGCCCGCACTGGACGTCTCATTTGTCGTCCGATTGAAGGAGAGGTCAGTGGGTGGGTCCTTCAGCCTGCTTGTGAAATACTAAAGAAAAGGATGGAGGAATGCACATTTTTTACAATGGTTATTAGCTCTTGCACATCAACAGTAAATAAATTAATATTCACAAGTTTGTGTCATATGAATAAATCCTTACAAAAAGAGGTGAAAGGGCACTTAGATGAAACATTATAAACGCTTTTCAGTTTTAAATGATGCACAAATTAAACACACATTTATGTTAAAAATACAAAAATGGTTCAATCTATGAATCTATAGTGATGCTTTAAATGTCTGTAAGTGCAACAGTGCATTAAAATGAAAATGCATTTCAAGTTAGCCTAAGAAAGCTTTTGAATTTCTAGATTGTGGCCACATACTCAAAGTATTACCATATTTCTGGTTCATGTCTTTAGAGCGCATCTTATTTACTTATCAAAGTGCTTTCCAACTTTTGTCAAAATAAATAAACACTATACGGTATTTGAGCTTCAACAGAAATCCCCCCTAAGGGTGCATCCAAATCCAATTCACACAAATTCCACATTTTAAGAAGTTAACCCCTTAAAGCTCAAAAAGAATGGCTCGGGATTAAAGAGGCTGTACGACTGCCGTGGAAATCCACCTGGCTGGAGTAAGGTCAGCCATCCTGAGTGAAACCAGGTGCTTGTGGAAGGAATGGTAAACAAACAATATTGTTTTCTCTAAGTTAGGTGACCTCTCTCTCAGTGGAGCCCAACCTTTTAATTAAGTAGTCACTAACAACAAGGCCACCAACAGGGCTCTTCCTTTGACCTCCATCTGTCTGTTGTTCCAAGGATTAACTACATTTGGATGTGCAAATATTCTCATATTCAGACGGATACAATTGTCCTAAAATGTTGCTTAACTTACCATCGTTGCCGTCATGAAGAAATTCCACGGTAAGAGGGTTCCCAGGCCCAGGATGAAGAAAATGATCCATACTGCATTGTATCTAGGAAAGAGGCAAAAGGAAGTTCACATGAAATGACATCAATGAAGTCATTCAACTTCATATATAAACAATTTATTCACTGGATCGCATCCAAATCTCATATTCTGCAAATAATAGATTTAAAGCGCTTCTCTTACTTGTCCCGAGGTGCGTTGATGGCCGTCATGGTTCTTGTCAGACTGCCAGAGGCACGTGCTCAGTCAGGGTTTTAATCAGGGCGGTAACCAGGTCTGAAATACACAGATAACAAAATGTGTCAAACATGGAAAACATTTAGTGTGCGCACACACACAGACACACACACACACAGACACACACACACACAACAGACACACACACACACACACACACACACACACACAGCAGCAGCCGCCTGCGTATGTCTCTCCTTTCTATATTTAGATGTTTTAATGAGCTCATTCATTTAAGAGCCAACACACAGCAATTAAATGATGGGCTGCATAATGTAATGTGAACAGAAAATAATACAACTAACCAATTCAGTTAAAACTGTCAGGTTCAGTTTAAAGTTAGCTCCAAACTCAGCACCAGCGGTAGAAACAGACAGACATAACAAATCACCTTCCTTATTTTTTTTGTATTAATTTCTGAACATGTCTTAGTCATTACAGAGGAAGACAGACCAGCCACAAGAATGAGTGGTTAAAACACTGAAGCTCAACAAAGTGGCCACTTTCTGGTGAAGTTGCATTACAGTTGTGAAACACATGCCCCACTTCACAAAGTACAGAATTTATTTTAAATGTAAAAAACATGACATTTTCTGCCCCGTTAACCTTTAAAAAAAACCTTAACTAAACTTACTTATAGCTGAGTTCAATCAGGGACAAAGGACTCCTCTTTTCTCTGGTCAGATGCACAACTAAAGCAAAGGCCGAACAAACTCTGTATGCTTCATTTTATAGCATACAGAGGTTTAGGAGGTTGACACCCCACTGTCGGCCGCCCATTGGACCTGCCCCTCTTTACATCTCGGTGTCCATCCCTCCCTTTTTCCTTTATCTCAAACTCCCCTTTCTCCCCGACCCTTCCTACACATTTTTACATTTACATTCCAAGCATGTGTGACGATCTTTGGCACGGAGACGTCAACTCCTAGATATCTATCATTTCAAGTAAACAGTAAATAGTGAGAAAGACAGACCCTTCCCTTGACAAGAGAATAACAATCACGTAAGGCTGAAGTGCTCAGAAAAGAAGCAAATGTAACAGCTAGAGAAGAGAACATGAAGGATTGCTTTTTTATTTAAATTGTTCCACATTGAGTCTTTACATTCCCATCTGTTCCACTGTCCTATTTTTCAATCTATGCACCCATACCTTCTTAATTTCTCCCTTCATTTCCTCCCATGTTTCCTAATGCCTACTCATTTCTCACCTCATTTCATCCACTGTTCCTCTTCAGCACCTCTATCATTATTATTTTTATGTCTGTTGGCCTTTCTTGTGCATCTCATATTGGCCTTTTATTACCTCCCATCACTCCTCTTTTTTAATTTCATTCTGTTCTCAGCGCCACTCTTAACTTATGTAACGCCCTCTCTCCCTTCTTCTCCTTGCATCTTTTCCCCCAGGATCAGATGGGACACATGTGTTCAGATAGCTGTGTGACACCTTCTCCAAACAGAGTAACTTTTCTCCCAAGACGCTTCCTCCATAAAAAACACACAAAGCAATTTGGCATCAAATCAAACTAAACACCACAAGGCAAAGTTTAGGTTGTCTCAGTAAATACAAGGATCATGAGCACTTAAATGCAACAGCTCTAAATAAAATTTACTGATCAACTCCCCGAGCCGTCCATTGTAAGAGGCTGATAAAAAAAAAGGTACGTGGTGGAGTTTTCCAGCACTTTGTTTTCATAAAATATTGCAATATGATATTCTTTGTGATGTTCTTACACCCCTAGTACACAGGGATGCTAATTTAAAGATGGACTCCAGTTCGCTGTGAGCTGAGAAAGTCTGGCATAGTGATCAAGTCATGTCAAGCTCCTTCTTCCCCTTGGAGCGCTCAAACACTTGATTTCAATGGCTGAATTTACTGCTGCTCCATTTTAGATTGGTTACCAACTACAGGGGCTAACATAAGCGGCAACCAACAAGCCAGTTGCTACACTGCTTGCTACAACTGTTTTAAGGAGGCCGGAGAAAAAACGTAAGAAAATATTTTTTTTTGGAAGTTCAGAACCAAATCGCTATTCTTGCGTGAATCATTCGTCATTTCCCCCCACCCCTAATCCACAGGAGGCGCTAAAGAAAACCATCAATGCGTCAGCAGAAGAAGACTGCTCGCAAGTACATAACACAGTTTGCACGTTCCGAACTTTTATGGAAAAATTGGCTTTGCAATGTTTTATGAGGAAGTAAATGTATGAAACATGTTTGTTAGACCTCAAGAATACCCACACAACTCATTTTGGTTCCTGAATGCAATGCAACAGCGTGTCAATTTCCTGTATTGTGTGTGTTGTGAGCTAGCGAGGCGGGCGGTGAGCAACCGGTGCAAAGAGATTTTACAGTCTAAATTTAGTTTACTGTGCCAGCAACACTAACACTCCCATGGTGCTCAGGGAGTCAGCTAATAGGGCCGCTAGCTGCCCTGTTGGTTAAGATAATTGACATGCTTCCCGCATGTGCTCCTGCGGATGTCCGCCATTATGTCAGCAGCCAGTCACGGTCATGTTTTAGGGTATTTATGGATAAACAAAAAGTACATTCAAGATTTTTATCTTTAATTGTCACACAAGAAAGTTAAAAGGACATAAACTGTTGCCAGGGCTTATTCATTATGTACTTTCTTTGAGGTAAAACTAGAGATATACTATTGAACAATTCTCTTATTGCTACGTTGTGTGCAATAAGTGTGTGTGTAAGTGTTTATTGCCAATGTATCTTGCTATTGTTTTATTGCCCAGGCCTACAATGGATATTAACCGCATCCATTCATGGTTACATTAATTAAAGATAAGACCGGCATGTATAATTTTATTTATTCACAGGTGAATAGACTGTTGTGGTTCCTGCTGACAGACATAACATGACGAATCCCATGTTTGATCTAGTTGGTCATGAGTGCGCTCTCAGAGCAGGACACAGACTGCTCTATATGAAGGGAGCCCATTAAGTACCATGCATCTAAAACTATACAGGGCTGACTGAGCGGAGTCCAACTCTGAGAAACAACGGTCTATGAGAAAGGTTTGGATGGCATGTGGGATGGGAAAGACACTGGACTCTATTTGTTAAACAACAAGTCCATATGTGCTTCCTTACATGGAAATTTACCGCTAGACCAGGCGTACACTGTGTGAATAAAAACTACAACCTGGCCGATAAACTGACAAGGCCAATATAAGTCGATATTAGCCGTCAGTAAATTATCAGTATATGTTTCTGCAACAAGAGGTTCCAATACAAATATTCTACATGTTTAAGACAATGTAGAAACAGTCTCCACAGTTTTAAATGGCCTTCCTGGAAACTCATAACAAAATTAATATTTTACACTGATGTCTCATTTTTCTCTCCCCCTCCGGTTGTCATGACACAGTCAGTTCCAACAACATTGTCCAAACTTTATCATAGCCGGTGGTATTACAAACACCACACTGTGAGTCACAGTTTAAAGCACACTGGCTCGACCATGTCCCAGATTCCTGTAAAGTATGCCTCTCTCAACCTAACGTGTCATGAAAACGAGCCAGCTGGCACAAGTTGCCTGGTGTCGAAATGGTGCCCACCACACACACACAGTCACACAGGCACTTTGCAGTCTGTAGAGTGGTACAAAACTCCAGTTTGGCATCGGTCTGACACTTTAACTAGCCGGCCTCTCAGCGAGATCCAACTCCAACAAACAGCACTCCAATGGAAAACGATTTAACAGGAGTGATGGTAATTTATTGTTTCCTCTCTACTGTCAAGGTAAAAAAACATATATAGTTCAGATCTTGCCAAACTGTTCAAGAGGCCAGCGACTATGAATCCAGGAGGCCGGGACAGGAGAGAATAGGGAAAGGAGCAAGTCCGCCAGTATTTATCTTTGTGAAGTTAGATGTTATTTATTCTGTGTTTTGTACTGTTAATATATATATATTTAAATAACTGAATTAATATCATAAACATTCTCTAGTTTTATAATGTTTCATCCGCTATGCAGTCCTGTTTGTGTGCCACAGTGCATTATGTGTGCTGCAAGAAGCAGCAGTGTTCAGGACTTTAGGCAAACCTGAACTTAATCATGTGCACTGAGGGGGAGTTAGGATTTCTTGTTTAAAAGGAGAAGTTGTTGAAATCAAATTTATGGAAAGGTATGACCTAGTAAATACACAGGTGGCACGATACAAAAACTCCCACTCTTTCCCACACAGTGTAATCATCAATTCAATCAATCCATTTTTTATCTTGGACACAGGGGTGAATCTTAAGAGAAAACGAAGTACATTTAGTTACAGCGAGTAGTTTCTTGTTTTACCAGCATACCTCTCCAACAGGGCCGCCTTTATTCCCAGGCTGACACACAGAATAGTTTGATGCTGGTCATATGATGAGGCGAAGGAAGAATAACCTTCTCCCTGAGGTCATTTCCCAGTGCTTATAGAGGGTCAACACTCTTATCAAAGCCATAACATTTCCTCTGCCCACCCAGTATTAAGACTGGAATGCCATTCTAGGAAATAAGTGAAACGATAACAGGGAGGTATTAATTTTTACAGTTGTGAAATATTCATCTGGCAACAGGTATAGCAAACTCATGCCAAGAGTTGTTGTACTTGGCATGAGTGACATTTTGTCAACAAATTGTTCAGAATGTACGCCTCTGAACGCAGCATATAACTTAAACTACAAACCAAAGCCAGTGTTCAGGATGTAATGACCTGCCGGTTTCCATTCCAGAAATCTAATTAGAGATTATTTCACTAATGGGATACAACCTGAACACAATTAACTGCAATTAACTAGCTAGTAGCAGAAAGAACATTAAATTGAATTGCTCGAATCAGTACCTGCGAAGTACTGTATACACAAAACAGTATTGAGGGCTTTAAAATGTTCTTAACCGTCTTTTCAGCATGTCTGGTGTATGCAGCGGAAACAGGACAAACTGGATCATGTAGAATCACAATACTCTGCACTCATCACACAAAAACATACAAACTGTGTGAACTGTGCCCTCTGTAGTCCTTGGCATGTTTTCTCTAAATCTA